GAACTTCTGGCAACATTGCCAGAGGCAGCACCGCCCCGGTATTCATGTCAACCATCACAAGTCAGGTGGCCAGTAAACTATTGATGAATGGAAATAGTGCTGGCATATAGGCAAACGCCAATGGGCGAAGCGGGCCATCGTCTGCTCTTTCAGAACATGAGTTCATTATGGAATGAGTAACAGAGTGAACTAGTTACCACCAATGAGAACTAATTCCGTGAGGTAACCGTATTTTGTGTACACGAGTATGTGTGTGTGCCCTTGGGGTGAAGAGAGGGGGGGGGAAGTACTGTGCATCATGACCAAGATTGTTTCGTCGACTGTCAGCAGTTTCTTCGGGGTGACATCACCGTGAGTGAATTGTGCAGTATGCGATAACCGCTCAATCCTCTCTCTGATGTGTTCACGACTGGGCATCACAACATTTACTGCAAGCAGCCCGAAGAAAAAGTTTTTTCCACTGTGCTCATCATTTGCATCAATCATTTATCGGCCAGCTCTGGCTGAATCTTAGTCGCACATCAGATTTGCAGAGATCAGCTGACAAAGGAAGGAAAGTTTGTCAGGGAAATTTTCGGTCCTGATGGATGCGTGGGAAAAGTTTTCAGAACAAAACTATATGCCTCATGCCCTAACCGATTCAATGCTGACAGTGGGAGCAGAGCAGTGATGTAGTTCACTGTGTGAAATCGGCCTTTGAAACACATGTCACCTCGAATGACCTAGAGAGCCTTACAGGTCAATACGCCCCTCGCTTCGCGGTGATAGCCATGGATCGACCAGATCGCTATATGACCAAACAAGCGTCCGGATACCTACCCCCTCAGATCATTCAATCAGTAACCCAATTGTGACCACTGTACCAACTGTTGATTTCTAAACACCCAGAAACGTCTTTGTTTATTGCGTTGATCTAACCGACTTTATCACGGTGATGCAGTGCCACTGTATTACAAAATGATTAGCTTCTAGGCAAACAGGATTATTCATGCACCCCTTCCCTCCCTTTCACTGGAGGAAAAACACCTGTTACTCGAAAAACTATTGTGCGTAGGTGAGAAATGAGTCATTCTTCGCTCCATCTCATGACGAATTCCAATTTTTATAGACCAGCTAGTCAGGGCCTAGCACACGGCACTGTCGTTTGCTGGCATCCTCCGAATTGAATTTATATATATTTTTTCATACACGTCTAAGGCCAGACTGTGTGCCAAATAAATCATGGTACAACGATCTATATAAAAAGAATAACGTTTCATGATTTGCATGCAGGTCGAATATCGCCAGATTGCCCAGGCCAATGCAGGTGAATTTTCTTAGCCAATTCACAGCCGAAACCTTCGGTTAGCCAAAGCCTGACCCACAAGGCAGCGGGGCGGTGCGACCACCGCAATCCATTGTGGGCCAGTGTCCATCTCATCGGATCATACGACTTTTGGACGAGGTCAAATGTTCAAGGTATCCAATACCCTCCGATGCTCAATTGAGGTAGTGACCGTTCCAGAACCGGAAAGATGTGCGGTTGATGCGCCTCGTCTCATTTGGTTTGGAATCACAGAATTGAGCCAACTCCCCCCTCCCCCCGGTGAACTGCTAGCGGTTCACGAACCCGGTTATAGCCCGGGACGTTGGTTTTTCGTCCTCTCACTTTGGTGGGAAAACACCACCGCGACAGGAAGGTAGCGAGTAGGGCTTCCTCAGAAGAAGCTATTTGAGGCGCTTCGTTGTATGGGAGCATTTCTGAAGTTGCAAGGGAAGAGTGACCAGCCGCAACCGAAGGCACCCATCTCCGACCATACTGAAGCTTTCTAATTTTCGAATAACTGGTTACCACTGCTTGCTCCTGCACGAATCCTTCCTGCTTGTTTCAATCCCAACAATCGTGGTACTCAGTGATCCGTAAAACTGAGTATTCAATCGGTAAATACGGCAGCATAGAAATTTTCAAGGTCGTGAATATTAGCGTATCCGTACGGAATTCCTACCCGATTGTGTATAGTTTTTAAACCTCGTCAGGGATGCGGATCATCTGATGTGTACGGTTTCAAATAAACGAATTATCGTGACTACGGATTATACAAATTGATAGACACAACACTTCGGCGACCAGTCACACATCGAGCACACTACCTAAGGCAATGCAATCATTCTCTATTACATGGTGAATTGCATCATGTACAAATGAAGCGTGCATTGAAAAGCTAGAAAACGCTGGTCAGTTGATTCCACCTTGTTGGATCTCATCAGCAGTGCCAATCCATTGAACCGGGACCTTACAAGTAGAACTCAAGCATACTACCCGGTCGACCGTTTTTCAATGCGCTTATAGACATCCCATTTGGGCAATCTTATTNCACTTTGCACTGTACATGACGAAGTTCACTGTGTGATACATTTGTATCGTACACGACTGTCACGTACTAGTTATGTATTCTCAACCTCCACAATGTGACAGTGAAAGTGTGGCAGTCAGGAGCTCGCATCTCATCACATTGAAAGACAATCCAAACTAGTCGGATTTTTCTGCAACGACTAGGATGCCCAATAAGCAAATCAGCCTTTTAATTTCTTTGTTATAACTCAAGGATATAAAATACCCAGTATTTGTTTTCACGATGAATGAGATTTTTTCTGCATTAATAAAATCAGAGTACGGCGGAGATCCTTATCGATCCGTCCTTTCGAGATCAGGTCGTCTGCTGATGCGATTCGATACAAAGTTTTGCGGCAGTTAACAAGTTGGGTCAGTACAGTTGAACATATCACGCTTATTTGTCAGAATGGCTTCTTCTGGTCCACAGCTTTTACTCACCAGTGGCCTAACTGTTTCGTGGGTACATTTATGGACTGTTAATTGTTTGTTAGATAGCTTTATGCTTTTCCACCACATGGCGTTTCGTGTCAGCGGTTCGTCGGTGAATTGAAACCATTTACACGAAAATATCCTACCCCCACCCCTGGAATGGTTATGTTTGCACCGTTTGATATGTCGTAGCAACGCGAGGAAAGTAGGGAAAAATTCACTTCACCAGGTTACGAACTTTCCGTGGGTACAATCTTGCAAAGTTCAGAAAATCAATAGCAGTATTTTTGGCCGTTTATATAAGGATAGTTGTACACACTAATGCCTACTTGTTTCTGTTCCTTAATCCCGGTCGGAAAACGTTGAATTGAAAGACTTCACTGTGCAGAGTCGATATCAAACTGGCTACTGGGAATCGATTCTTTTACAAGGACGAGTACCANCGAGTACCACCACGTGGAGCCTGTGCTCCATCGATCACGAGCTCATAATTGAACGAAGTTATCAAGTTTCTGTTGCACTGTTAAACTCTGACAAACAAGCGGTGGCGTGCAGCGTTCGAACAACGCTGTGTGCGATTCTGGAAGAATGATTGACACATCCCTTGTCTCTCTCTTTCCATGCGACCAACCAATTACCATCGCCATTTCTTTCGTG